GAATTCTAGCTAGGTTCCTACTCTTAGTAATTTCTTCTGACCTATTGCCCCTGAGAATCTTCAAAGATCTAGGCCTACTACTTAAAAATCCAGAACCTTCTGGATGAAGGAGTCAGTTGCCTGGCCTCTCCAGGATGGAAGGATTTAGGGATTTTATTCAAATTACTTATTTCCCACATTATTTCCATGTCTCTGCACTGGGACTTCAGGCTCAATTTTGAGCTATATTTTCTGCACTGCTGTAAATGAAAATTTCAGATGAAAACCCCATGATGTACTGCCCTGTCCCTCTTGCAAGGTCATGTACTTTCTTTAATTTATCTGCAAAATGCCAGTCCTCACGTGCTCATCTACATGGGCTATTTGCACTTTCTTTTTGTTATCCTTCAGCTATCAGCAAATACCAATTTAATCACACTGTCATTCAGGCTCTCATTCTACACACCGGTCTCCCTATAGATGCTAGTGGTTCTGGTGTCCAAACTGTGGAAGCATCTTGATTTGGGTGACCTGGACATTGCTGATGTAACAATCTCAGGCCTTCCCACACCTGTGAAAGTTTCTGGACATCAGAGTAGAGAGGACCCTTATCTCTCTAGGTAAGCCTCAGGCTCTGTTGGACATTCTGTCCCAGGTCTTAGCTCTCTCACTCGCTCCAGTTAGAGCTATTCTTCATCTTTAGTGATACTTTGTGGCAGGTGTTGATCTGGTTCCCTAGGTCTGTCTTCACTTTCAGTCCCTACAGTCTCTCATTTTAATCATCTGTTTCCTGTGGAATCCTTTTCTCTCCCACAAGCAGCCCTATTTCTTGCCCGGGCGTCCCATTTATCCTGTATCATGGTGGCTCTCTATTTTCTTCTCTATCCTTTCTTGGTTTCTCTTATCACAAGTGCAATCTCTCAAGAGGATGCACCCACCTCAGTTCCCTCTCAGACTGCGGAACTTGGATCCTTCATCACCTTACTCCTGGGATTTGAACATGTTGCTCCAGGAAGCTTAGGCCTTTGCAACCTGATCCTTACAAAATTAAACTGTCCCCTCCACTAACTAAATGGAGGCCTGGCTGATAAAGTGGGATTTCCAAGCAAATCGTTTCTTTGAAGCTTCACATAGGGAATAGGATAACTCAGGCCTGGAATGATCCACTTACAGAAGATATAAGAGGAAAAAAGGAAGGAAGAAAGGAAGGAAGGGAAGTGAAAACTGTTCACGAACTATCGAAAGTCAATTTTTTTTAAGTTAATAATAGGCCTGTCGATTAATCGCAGTTAGCTCACGCGATTAACTAAAAAAAATTAATCGTGATTCAAAATATTAATCACAATTAATTGCAGTTTTACTTGCACTGTTAAACAATAGAATACCAAGTGAAATTTATTACATATTTTTGGATTTTTTTTCTACATTTTAAAATGTATTGATTTCAATTACAACACAGAATACAAAGTTTACAGGGTTCACTTTACATTATTATTTTGATTACAAATATTTGCACTGTAAAAATGATAAAAGAAATAGTATTTTTCAATTCTCCTCATACAAGTACTGTAGCGCAATCTCTTTATCGTGAAAGTGCAACTTACATATGTAGTTTTTTTGTTACATAATTGAACTAAAAAACAAAACAATGTAAAACTTTAGAGTCTATAAGACCATTCAGTCCTACTTCTTGTTCAGCCAATCACTAAGGGAAACAAGTTTGTTTACATTTACAGGAGATCATGCTGCCCGCTTCTTATTTACAATGTCACCTGAACGTGAGAACAGGCATTCGAATGGCATTTTTGTAGCCAGCATTGCAAGGTATTTATGTGCCAGATATGCTAAACACTCGTATGCCCCTTCATGCTTTGGCCACCATTCCAGAGGACATGCTTCAATGCTGATGATGCTCGTTAAAAAAAAAATGTTAATTACTTAGTGACTGAACTCCTTGGGGGAGAATTGTATGTCTCCTGCCCTGTTTTACCTGCATTCTGCCATGTATTTCATATTATAGCAGTCTCAGATGATAACCCAGCACATGTTGTTCATTTTAAGAACAATTGCACAGCACTTGACAAAACGCAAAGAAGGTGCCAATGTGAGATTTCTAAAGATATCTACAGCACTCAACCCAACGTTTAAGAATCTAAAATGCCTTCCAAAATCTGATCGGGACTAGGTGTGGAGCATGCTTTCAAAAGTCTTAAAAGAACAACACTCTGTTGCAGAAACTACAAAACCTGAACCACAAAAAAGGAAAATCAATCTTCTGCAAGTGGCATCTGACTCAGATGATGAAAATGAATATGCATCAGTCTGCACTGCTTTGGATCGTTATCAAGGAGAACCCATCATCAGGATGGATGCATGTCCTCTGGAATGGTGGTTGAAGTATCAAGGGACAAATGAATCTTTAGCACATCTGGCATATAAATATCTTGCGACGCCAGCTACAACAGTGCCATGAGAACACCTGTCTCACTTTCACAGGACAAAAAGAAGAAGCAGGCAGCATTATCTCCTGCAAATGTATACAAACTTGTTTGTCTGAGCGATTGGCTGAACAAGAGGTAGGACTGAGAGGACTTGTAGACTCTAAAGCTTTACATTGTTTTGTTTTTGAATGCAGATTTTTTCTTACATAATTCTACGTTTGTAAATTCAACTTTCATGGTAAAGAGATTGCACTACATTACTTGTATTTTTCAATTCATCTAATACTATTTACTTTGTTTATTATCGTGCAAATATTTGTAATAAAAATAAATATAAAGTGAGCACTGTACAATTTGTATTGTGTTGTAATTGAAATCAATATATTTGAAAATGCAGAAAGCCTCCAAAAATATTTAAATAAATGGTATTCTATTATTGTTTAACAGTGTGATTAATCGTGCGACTGATCTTTTTAATCGTGCAATTGATCACTTAGCCCTAGTTAATAAACGTTTAACCGGTGGAATGCTATTCTATATATTTGAAAACCCATGGTTAGCCTAGGGTTCGTCCACAAAGGAATGAGCCAAGAATTATTGATATTGCAGTAGGCTTATTATAGTACTGCTGTGCAAATGATGGAGTGCCAGAGTTGAGCATTTGATCTGAGAGGCAGAGGAAGTCTATGTACTGTAGATAAACAAGGTTTGGGCTAGAAAGTAACCTAGACTACACAGGTAAAGGATAGAGCCTTGGCTCCATAAACACTCCCTTGACTGTGACCAGTGCAGCTGAGCTGGAGTGATGAGTGTCATAAATTGCTGCTGGCTGACTGCAACACCATTAACACCATTAATCTGGGCTTGAATAGGGACTGGGAGTGGCTGGCTCATTACAGAAGCAGTGTTGCCTCTCCTGGAATTGACACCTCCTCATCTATTATTGGGAGTGGACTACATCTACCCTGATTGAATTGGCCCTGTCAACACTGGTTCTCCACTTGTGAGGAACTCCCTTCTCTTCATGTGTCATTATATAATGCCTGCATCTGTAACTTTCACTCCATGCATCTGAAGAAGTGAGGTTTTTTACCCACGAAAGCTTATGCCCAAATAAATCTGTTAGTCTTTAAAATACCACCAGACTCCTTGTTGTTTTTGTGGATACAGACTAACACGGCTACCCCCTGATACTTGCAACAGCAAATTATTTAGAAAAAAGCAGCAGAAGATGAATTGCAATTTTCAGAAGTCTGTCCGACTGACAATGTCTTCTGGGTTTACTCCTCCAATGGGGAAATTAATACACCACTCCTGTGTAGGGCTGAAGTCACATTCTAACCTTAATGTGGAATAATGGAAAGCCAAGATTCTGTGTGAGAGAACCATTTGGACAGTTGAATGCACAAAAATACCTTTGTAGTATAATCATTAACATCAATACCACCTTTTAGGATGAAGCTATAATAATTGTCTTGATGTATCATATCAAAAGTGCATATATTGACTCTTAAGGAAAATTTAAGTTCTTTGGACTTATGGGTAGTGAGGACCAGACCATTATTGCAGAAAAATAGTAGAAACAAGAATGACTTGGATAGAGGTGGAGCATTGTCAGAGAAACACCTTTTGCAATTCATTATAGAAAATTCTACAGTAACAGTAATAAAGAATAGACTATGTCCTCAATTCAGTAATTACATACTACAAAACACTGAACAAGAGATGGATCATGGGATATTGGCAACTATAACTCTAAAACATTAGTCACAGCTCTTAACATTATTTAAAAATAAATTATAGGATGTATGATGTGCAATTATTTAAAAAAACATGTTAGAGGGAATTTATTCTAGCATTATGAATAGATCTAATAGAAGGGCTTGATTTGAAATATTGCACAAAGTTCTGGCCATCTTATTTCAAAAAGTAACCTCACCTAAAACACTGTTTGTTAATATGTGTTTGTTTTGGAATAATCTGTTTTTATTATGCACCAAATTTACCTGTTTTTTAAATTAACATTATTTTAAAAAATATGTTGTAGTGTGCTTTATCTTGGAAAAAAAACTTTTAAAATGTCTTGGTTTAATGGCATAGAATGTTTTTGAGTGTCGCTTTTAAAATCTGTTCTCAATATCCTAACTAAAATGGAAATGAAAATAATTAAAATATTGCTGAGTTAAATATAAAAAAAACAATCTGTATGGTTTTTTCTGGAATTGTCTTCAAATCTATTTGTCTATTAACTGTCTATTAATCTTCAAAAGTTTGTTCCTGGTATTATACATGTCACATTATATTCTTATGTGTATATTTCCATTAATTTTAATATGAGATGATGACTGCATTCCATTGTTTTGCACTTGACATAAAGAGATCCATTTTAAGCACCTGTTTTGGAAGTTATTTACCCAGCTCTCTTTATGGTAAGTGGATGTTGCGCAGGTATGCATACCATGCCGAAATTACACTTTAAACTGATCATCTGTGGAGTCAAAAAATCACCTATTTCTAGAACATTCTAAGGGATTGTTGACTGTGAAAATGTTGTGGTAATTATTTTATTTTTATTTGCAGGTTGCCTTTTCACAGCACAACACCATCATGGATCTTGTGCAGTTCTTTGTCACCTTCTTCAGGTAAATTGCTTCTTCTAATGTCTAATTGAATCCATACTAATTTATGTTCCACCAAAGCATTAGATTTGCCAGTTCTTAATTCTTAAGAAATCCCTATATGGAAACCTTTAATTTATGTGTGCCAACACTGATTTACTACTGCTGAGGATCCTGACCTCTGTACTTTGGGTAAATACAGTTATTGTCCTCTTGGCTATAATAATGATAGTCTTTGCATTCTTTATGCAAAGATTAGCCAAAATATTTTTCCAACTGTATACCTTTAATGTTAGTATGTAATAGAAATCATAGGCCAGTTATGCTGATTTATATAAATGCAGGTAGACCTGCATGTGATGATTTTGAAATAAGTATTTTGTATAGAATTATTACTATAAACTCATATTATGAAAACTGTTGAAGAAAACTGTTTGTTTGTTTTTAAACAAAATCAAGAGAGTCTTCACTTTTCCTTTCTTGAATATGTTGTTAAAAGACAAGTGAGCTGTGAGATTTGGCTGTGGAAGGAATGCAGCGTTGGTCCCTATCTGAAAATGTAGGACTATTCTCTGATCCAAAACAGGATTAAATTGAAACACTTTTTAAAAAATCAACTGTTTTAAAAGAATGTGTAACTTTTAACGTGTATGAATTACCTACACTACTTTGGAGTATCACTGTTCAGTTATTTCCCAATAACCATTCAGTATGCAAATTTGTGTACAATGGCAGACAGCCATTATTCACCAGAGTGCAAGATTTACATAATTGCTATATGTTTATTTCCCAATAACTGTGCAATGTATATGCAAATCTCTCTAATCCGGTTAGCTACTTCAGTCTAATCTGCTCTGATTGGTTCTTATACTCAAAGGGTAATATCCTCTTCTTTTGTAAATGAGTGCAGCTCTGGTAATGTCGGTGATTTGGCCTAAAAATTGTTTAATTTTTTTTTCTTTGCCAGCTCTTAAGTAATTTGTGGACTGCTTGCCTCTGTATCCCCTTCTGGGATACAACTCACCCAGAAGTGGGCAAGCCATGAGATCTCTACTCCCCAAACTAACACATTAATCTTGTACCTATTGTCTGATGCAAAGGGTATCCCCATCTTTCCTCCTTCACCATAAACAGGGCAATATCTAGAGAAATTGTGCCTGCCTAAGGTACAGTTTCCCTAGTGATTCTCCTATGGTAGTGAAGCTGTGCACAGACACCGGCACAGAGGTGTTTCACTAATGTTAGCAATCTTCCTATAGAAATCTGAAAACATGGTAGCTTGTAGAACGAAAACAAGAAATTCTATGTACAATTAATTACAGTAATCCAACTAAGACATGATGAAGGCTCATATGAGTGACCTGGCATGCCACGGACACAGTCCAGCTGCAGGTGTATTGTGATTCTTACATGTGAGGTTTGTAATGGTAATAGAGCGGTGATCAAATCGTATTTTGGGATCAAAAACATCATCAAATTTATAAACCTTTTTGTAAGATTCTACGATATTCTTCAACAAAGGAATTTAAAGCATTATTTGAAAACATTGTTTCTTCTAGGATTTAAGATTTTGACATTTTTAGATTTCCAAGGCTGCCTATCACTTGAAAACTAATCCAACCAAAATTACATTTTGAGATTACACAAAATGGAAAGTATAAATTTAGTTATATAGTATAGTGATATCTAAAATGATGATTCTTAATGATGTCACCTAGGTGGAAGTTAGCTTAAATTAATTTTATATTGTTGTTTTTCTTTCTTTTTTTAAATACATGATCCCATAGTCAGCTGTCAAACAGTGATAGTGAGGCTGTTATTTATCAACGTACGTGCACAAATTACTTCGCTGCATCGAGATGAAAAGCAATATATAAATGCTATAGATTCATAGTTCTGAAAAGAGTGATTATAAGTTTTGAGAAGGCTGACATCTCCCTGAATTTTTTCATAAAAGTAGCTAGTTTGGAGCTGTGATGCATGTTAGCAACTGGCCAGATTACAATCATAGCATCATAGGGTTAGAAGGAACCACAAGGGTCTAACCCCCTGCCAAGATGCAGGATTTGTTGTCTTAACCACCCAAAACAGATGGCTATCCAGCCTGTTTTTGAAAACCTCCCATGAAGGAGCTTTTATGACTTCCCTAGGCAGTTTGTTCCAGTATTGTACTGTTCGTACAATTAGGAAGTTTTTCCTGAGATTTAAACTAAAACTGTTATACTGTAGTTTGAACCCATTGCCTCTTGTCCTGCCCTCTGTGGCAACATACAGAAATCCAATAAATTGCCATCTGTGGCAATTTTTCTCCATTTTTTTATGGCAGCCTTTTAAGTATTTGAAGACCCATTGCCTCTTGTCCTGCCCTCTGTAGCAAGAGAGGCTCTGCATTGACTTGGGGGGAAACCATAGTTGGCAGCATCATGATTTACTCAACTGCTTTATTCAGGGACAGTATAGCTGATGGCAATCTGAGGAGGGGGCTAGAAAAGGTGTCCTAAAAATTGCTCATCTTGAACAGCTGTGGCCAGTGTGCTGTAGCTGGAAGGTGTTCCATCACATGGTTGAAACTTACACATGCCTTGAAAAGTTTCTTATTGTCTCAGTGTTATAACATGGAAGGTCTGTACGCTCCTTGATCGTCCAGATCAAACTGCCTGTCCTGCCAGGCAGATCGTTCTGATTGCTCAAGAGCTTGAAAGATATCGCATCAACATTGTGGTGCTGAGTGAGAAGTAATTTGCTGAAGAGGATCAACTGACTGAGAAGAGTTCGGGGTACACATTCTTCTAGAAGGGACACCTACAAAACAAGCCACATAACATGGGAGATGGCTTTGCAATTAGAAAAAATCTTGTCTCTTGTTTGGAGATCCTACCCATTGGTATAAATGACAGATTGATGAAGCTTCAGCTGCTCTGAGAGGTGGATGTTATGCTTCGGTAATCAGTCCTACACGCAAACAGTCACTAACTCTGATGAGGGAAAGGAGCAAATTTACTCCAAACTAAATAATCTGATCTGATTGACTCCCTGCTCATGTTGGCGATGATGATTCTACATGGTGCGGCATACTTGGCAAACATAGCATTGGCAGAATGAATAGTAATGGCTTACTTTTGCTGGTGACATGTTGGGCACCAATTATTTATCACAAACACTGTCTTCCATTTCCATGACAAATACAAAATAATTTGAATGCATCCTTGGTCATGTCATTGGCATCTGAGTGACTATGTGTTGGTCCGATAGCGGGACCTACGGGATGTGCACATAACCTGGGTATTACACTGAGCTGATTGCTAGACTGACCATTGTCTTGTTCAGTCAAAGTTCTCCCTTTCTATTTGGCCGAAAATGCATAAAAACCAGTCATTTAAGCATCTAAATGTTTCCCGGATGAAAGATCCATCAACCACCGAACAATTCTCAACACGGCTAACTATCATTTTGAAAACTTCCAACAATCAATGATGATGTATCTGCTTAATGGGTGTAATCCTGTGTGATACAATCTCTAATAAAGTTGTCAGTTGTGTTTGATATACGAAATGCCATCATGCAGCTTGGCTCAATGATAATGGTTCTGAAATATCAAATCTTCTTCATGCCAAACAGGCAAGGTCATAATGTGCTCTTACCTGACCTGTCCTCTGAGTTGAAAAAGGCCAGATATAGAATAGCTTGCAGCAAACTTCAACACAAATTCTGCCAAAAGCAAAATATGTGGTTTGAACACCAAGTGGCTGAATTGCAGTTCCTTGCAGAATAACATGATCCCAAAAGCTTTTATGATATGGTCAAAGCTGTGTATAGCCCTACCCAATCTGCCTTTACCGCTAACAAGTGCTGATGATGAATTTCTCGTCACAGATCACACTATCATCCACCAAGGGTGGTGTGAACACTTTACTGAATTACTTAATCATCTGTCTACTGTCCCTGATGAGTCACTGGATAATGTCTGTAAACTACCTACATCTAATGCACTTGCTGATCCACCCTCATGAGCCAAGGTGCTAGAGGCTGTTCAAGCAATGAAAAATAACAAATATCCTGGTCCTGATGCACTCCAGCTGACGTTTTCAAACATGGAGGAAATCCTCTCATTGACAAGCTTTTTGAATTCTTATCACGTCTGGCTTCAAGAAATCATACTGCAACAACTAAAAGATGCTAACCTTGTCACTATCTATAAGTGCAAAGGCTTAAACAGTGGCTATGGTATCTACTGCAGCATCTCCTTGCTCTCCGTGCCCAGTAACATTCCTGCATGGATTCTCTTGAACCAGCTCCTGGTGGACAAAGTATGGTCTGAGTCACAGTGTAGCTTTTATGTTCAGTGGAGTACTGTGGCATGTCTGACAATCAAAATAAAAATGTCACGAACAACATCAACCTTCGTACATCATGTTTCTCAGTCTAACCAAGGTTTTTGACACGGTCAACCACACGGCTGTCTGGAAATTGCTTACTAAATTTGGATGCCCAGACAAATTTATTAATATTGTTCGGCAATTCCATGAAGGCATGGATGGAAAAGTTAGTGTTGATGGTGATCTAATAGATCCATTTCCAGTCACAAATGGGGTGAAGTAAGGATGTCTTTTCTCCTAGACATTTTGTTTATACTTTGCTGTGATGCTAGAGGAAACCCTTCATGGCTCTTCAAATGGTGACTTTATACACTTTTGAACTGACAGGTTCTTTAATCTTTCTTGTCTACTTGCAAATACCAAGATGAGCGAAGCTTTGATCCAGGAACTGTTCTACTCCGATTATTGCACCTTGGTGGCACATTCTGAAGCAGCATTACAAGATCGTACAAACCACCTTGCTGTGGTGGCTCATAACTTTGGCCTTACCATCAGCCAAACAAAAGCTGTACCAGCCATCTTTTCAACAACTTTACCAAGAACCATCAATAATTTTGGAAGGTATCACGCTCCAAACCATCAAACAGTTTATTTATCTCAGCAGTATGTTAAATAATGAAGTGACAGTCGATCACAAAATGGATGCAC